ATTTTGTGTTATTATTTTATTTATACTTATTAACACCACAATTTTTTATCCTCATCATTATTTTTTTATTATTATTACCACTATATGTATTATTTATTGTGTTTTTCGACACAACTCCTTGTATTATTGCATCACTATTGTAAATGAACATTTTGTGATTCAATATCGGGAGGGTGAATGTGTGAGTGAGTGTTTGTTCACCTCACACTCTAAAGCAACTTGAGGGCTATTGGCAATGGACATCGTAATTTTGAATCATGGTCAAGTGATGATGATCTTGATGTGGCACCCCTTCTTCAAACTACCACACCACGCCAACGGCATGACTTAGAGCTATAACAGTTTTAGCATGAATCAACTCCTCTTCACGGTGGATCTTCACTGACTTGAGGAGTCAAACACGTGACTTGACAACACCGTCCATGTGTTTGTGACCCTGGCCTCTTCTCTGCTGGAAACATAAATTGTATGCGACGGGGAAAATGCTGCTATTAATGCAAAGTGAATCGGTGTGATCTTGGCGACCAATTTGAGAACCAAATTATTTAAATCGACAAATCTAGTCAAAAATAGATGTCTCTATAGTTCATATTTTTCACCACTAGACCACCATGACCACTCAGGTAGGATTAGCAGGAGGGTAAGTTTTAAAAAAATATGCTTATTTGAACGAATCATTTAAAAGTTAACTGTTTATCACATAATCCTATGAAAAAAATATTCTTAATGAAAATATTATGTGTTGTTAAGATTTTAAAAAAAACACATTTTTTTTAAAAGAAATTATTATGATTTGTTTGTTTTTTGTTCGTTTTTTTTTTTTTTTTTTTTGTAGAAATTAACCATTGATGTCAGTTGGATTCTGCTACTTATTTGAAAAAATAAGCGAAAAGTAATTCGTAGAACTTAACCGAAATATAAAATCTTTATTTTTATGCATACATAGGCTCTAATTATTCCTTTTTTAACATTCCGAGTTCTTTATTTTTATCCCGAAGTATTTTTCCTCTTCATTATTTTTTTAATTGTATTTAAAAATCCAACTGACAATACTATGTTAAAGAATAATCCATATTTCCACATATATATGCCACCTTACACATTGAACCGT